ATAGAAAATGAAGTGGTCTCGAACTTGTCGTTTCCATCAATAATTTGGCGTATAACAACTTGGAGGTCTCGTCATCGACAAAAAAAGAGGAAATACAAAGATAAATCCTCAAATAAAAATAAAAAAGTATATAAAATTTAATCTGTAAGAAAAATATGGTAAAATTCTAAAACTGAAATTAAAAAAATTTGTTAATAAATCTATAAAAAAAAACTATTTAGAAAATATTAAAGCTTAATATCTAAAAATAAAGAATACCAACAACTCTTGAAATTAGTTAGAAAATATATAAAAAACTTATTACATTTCTTTTAAAAAGAAACTGGAGGGGGGGGGGGGGGGGGTTGTTACAGAAAGTGAAACGAAAATGGGTCTTAAATCCAACAACAATGTCCACCTTTTTTTTCAACAAAAAATAATTGAATCGAAATCCAAATAAATCAAAACACTATCCACGAGAAAGAGCAGGATGTTGTTGTTGTTTCTGCAGATGAAGCGAAAGAGGTTATTTGCAGTTGAAGCTTGTTGTAATCTGCGGCTTGGTTTGTGTTTCGAGTTGAACTACTGCAACCGAATTGTTTAGAGATTTAAGAATGTCAAAGGGAGTATGTGTGATGATAGGGATAAGTTCGACGGAGGGTTTGTGATGTTTGATTTGAGTTGTTGTGGGTTGAAATGGTGGAGGAAAGGAAATGGGTTGTCGCGGTTGAATTTGCGAAGGAGGTTTTAAGCTGGTTTGATGAAGAAGAAGAACAAAGTAATGATTGTGGAGGGTGTGTGGCGAAGGAAGTTGGATGAAGTTTGTTGTGGGTATTGGTTTGAAGTTGAAGAATTGTTGGAAATGTTGGTTTAATAGAGGTCGAAGGTTGATGAAGGATATTGTTTGCTTTTCTGGGTTTCGGAGGCAAGAGGTTTGAAGGTGAGGTTTCGGCGAGAGATGGTGGATTTGCGGGGGGAGATGAAGTTCGAAGGAGATGAAGGTTTCGCCGAAAAACATGAGTGGAAGGTGTTGGGTTGAGTTGAAGGTTGAATGTGAGAGATGAAAATGGAGGTTCGAAGACGAAAATGGTGAGGGAGTGTTTTTTGAAGAAGATGATGGTGATGAACAGTATTTGCAGCTGGGTTACTAGGGTTCTGCGTCCGGAGAAAGGAGAAAATCAACAGTGCATTATATACTCTCAATCCGACACGTGGCACCTGCCTTATGATTTTTTTTATTAACTTGCTGATAATTATAAATGCTGATGTTTTTTGATTAATTTGAAGAAATTCTGCACTAATAACTCTAACTAATCTAAAAACTAGGTTCTAATTACTAACAACTATTCTAAATCTATTTTAAAGACTAACTTCTAATTCTAATCTTAAAAAATTCTATATTCTAAAACTTAAATTCTAATAAACCTATTAAAAATTCTAATAACTTAAATTCTAAACTTAATCTAAATTCTATATAAAATTAAATAAAAAGAAATAAAATCACAAAAATGCAGCGAAGTAAAAACGGAAAAAAGGGCGAACACCGAAATGCACCAAAATAATCAGCACAGACTGAATCACCAGGAAGAGAGCAACTTTCGCTTGATTTCGACATGGAACTTCTCATTTGAAATGGTTTAAATCGTCTAAAACGTGAGCAAAGTGGCTGTAATCCTGATAAATCACTCCGGCTGATAACATGACCAATATGCGAGAAATGATTGACCTAGATGATATGCAGATGAAAATGCTAAATGAAATGAAACTTAAGCCAAGTTAAAAGAAAAAGTTGGTCAAATTTTGGGGTACAACACTACTCACCATTCTTGTACTAGGTCTCAGAATTAGAATCCCACTTGACTAGATGATTTATTTGATACACACACACAACCCTAATAAAACTACTTCCAATTATCCCAACCCATTTGATCCATTTGTTCCACACAGTTCTCTTTCACCTGAGATACCTTACATGATTCATACATCACTACTTATTTCAAATCCTCAGAATTCAAATGAGAATACTTATGATAACAACCTTTATCCTCAAGTAACTTACCAGTCATAAAATCTACAAGAAATGTTAGACCTCTTACATATCTACAAGACTATCATTGTAATCTTCTTTTCAATACAATCCCCATTCAAGAAGCAACTGCTTCTAATCTATCTTCTCAATGTAAGTATCCTTTATCATCCTTCTTATCATATGATGCACTTTCTCTTGCACACAAAATTTTACATTACATCTATTTGCCATTAGTGAACCTCACTCATATGAGTTAACCATTTGTGATGCTAATTGGAAGGATGCCATTCAAATTTAGATGAATGCTCTGATTAAAACCAACACTAGGACTCTTGTCCATTTACCTTCACACAAGAAAGCCATTGGTTGCAAATAGGTGTTTAAGATGAAAATCATGCCAACGAAACTGTTGAAAAGTATACAACACATTTAGTTGCCAAGGGTTTTACACAAACTGAAGGATTAGATTGCATGGATATTTTTAGCCATGTGATCAAAATGAAAACAATTCGAGTGCTCATGGATATTGTTGTAGTCCATAATTAGCCCCACTTTAAATTTGATGTCAACACAACATTTCTTCATGGAGACCTCAACGAAGAAGAGTACATGAAGGCCCCTCCCAGTCTTGACTTACATCATGCAAATCTTGTATGCAAATTATAAAGATCTTTACAAGGCTTGAAACAAGAAAGCTGACAATGGAATACTAAACTTACAGACACACTTATTTTCATTGGATACATTTAGGAAAAGGCTAACTATTCTCTTTTTACGAAGACTTTCTCTGCGGGTTTACATTCATCCTTGTTTATATGGATGATTTAGTTCAAAGAGGTACTGATCTTGAAGAAATAAGGCAAATTAAAGCACTATTGAATGCAAAGTTTAGCATAAAAGATCTAGGAGTTTTGAAATATTTTTTAGGATTTGAAGTTGCTCGAACTGCACATGGTATTTTCCTTTGCCAAAAGAGATATGCCTTAGATCTCATACATAACGCAAGCCTTATTGGTAATAAACCCTGCAATACACCAATGCAACCTCACTCACAACTCCATAAAACATTTGGCAATCCTCTTTCTAATCCTACTGTATATTGAAGACTCATTGGAAGATTCTTATACCTAACTCACTCTAGACCTGAGATAGCTTATGCAGTAAGCAAGCTAAGTCAATTTCTTGATGCTCTAATTGATAAGCATATATTGGATGGTCTTCACGTGCCACACTACCTAATAAATAATCCAGGTCAAGGAGTATTCTTCCACTCATCTCCCACTTTATGCCTCAAGGGATTCTCTTATTCTGATTAGGGAGCTTGTCCAGACACACGTAGATCCACTACAGGAATTTGCTTCTTCCTTAGCAAATCTCCCATCAGCTCGAAAGCAAGAAGCAAGTCGCTGTGTCCCGTTTATCTTCAGAGACTGAGTATCGAACGTTGACCCATGCTACTTGTGAAGGCATTTGGCTTCTCTACTTACTCGATAACTTCAAAATTCCACATCACATTACAATATCTTCTATTGGGACAACAAATCCTCCCTACATATAGCTGCTAATCTGGTTTTTCATGAGTGAACCAAATACATAGAAATCGATTGCCATGTGGTACGAGACAAGGTGCTAGATGGAGTTGTTCACCTTATGCTTGTCACGTCCTAAGAACAAGTTGCCGACATACTCATTGAATCATTACACCCGAGTCCATTTTACAATCTTCACGCCAAGCTAGGAATGCTTGACATGCATTCTAACTTGAGGGGGTATGTTGAGCATAATGGAGCAATTGGTGTAACTAACTAGTTCATAGATAGCATAATTGAATCTTAACTAACTTTCAGTTAATTATCAATTAGTTAGATGAATGTTGAAGTTCGTTATAAATTACTTGCTATATAAGTAACCACATTCAAATGTATGAAGGCATGATGACATATCTTTGTTCTTCACTCTCTTTTCTGCATTTTCACATGCTTAAATTGACTCTTAACGGTTTCGTCTAGTTTTTCTTGTCAACACTTTACATGCATTTGGAAAAAGAAAAAAAAAACCAAATACACTTTAGTTAACATCAATATTGTCCAAACATCATTTCTTATACAGGATATACCTCTATTGTGCGCTTCACCCATATTTGCCTGCCATTTTTGTTTTGAGAATTTATGATCATTATTACCTTTTCTTTATATTCGAGCCCTGAAATGGAAAATTCTTCTGCAAGTGGTGGAAGTGGAACAAGTAAAATTCCAAAGTACATATTCTTTATTCCTTCTTTTTGACAGATGCACAAATTCTTTGAACAACTAGACAATGAACTAAATTAAAATGCAGCGTTGCATTCCCTCTTGTAAGAGTTCTGTTGATTGGATTACTATATGCCGTAGTATCAAACTAAATTTCTGACAGTATATATCTAAGCACACAGACAAACAATTATTTTAAAGTAATTTTTAAAAAATATAAGTTTAGATGCACTTTTGATCCTTGTAAGTTAGTAAGTTTTTAAGTTTAGTCTCTATAATTTATTTTTTTGTCAGAGTTCCTGCATCTCTTTTTTTCGTCGTTGTTAAAGCTAAAATCTGCAGGAAAATTTGAAGGAAAATCTGTAGGAAACCTCCTGCAGATTTCATCTTCAGAGACTAAATCACACGCAAAAAGTGAAATATAGTAACAGACTAAATAAATAATTTATAGAAACTAAACTCAAAAACTCGTTAACTTATAGGAACCAAAAAACTATTTCAGCCAAAAATATCATTTTTTTTATAGTAATTAATTTTGCCCTCCTCACCTTACTATCTATTTTTCTTCTTATTTATTTTCTCATTCACCTTATTCTTTGAGCTCTCCTTTTCAAAAAGTGAAGGTGATAATAACATATTCTACAACTATAAATATGTAGCAATCAGATCTGAAAGATTTCCATAACTTGAGAGCTTGAATATTTCAGAGGGTATCTTTTAGTAAATTTGTGTAATCTGAAGTCATGGCTCAAGTTTGTGTCCTTGAGACAACCGTGCAACTCAAATCATGTCCTCAAAAGTTCTATAACTTCCTCAAGAGCCAAAGCCAACAGATTCCAAATAAAGCACAGAGTGAAAACGTGCATGGTGTTGAGATTCACAAAGGCGATTGGAACACCCCTGGCTCTATCAAGATTTGGAAGTTCAGCATAGGTTTGTCAATTATTATTATTATTTTTATTACTATTATTATATATTATTTGATTCATAATTTTCATCAATATTTTTGTGTTGAATATTATTGCAGAAGGAAAGGAGGAGATATTTAAGGAAAAGATTGAAGTAGATGAAGTGAACAAAACTATAACATATGTTGCTGCTGGAGGGAATGTGTTGGAGTTGTACAAAAACTACAAAGCTATTGTGAAAGTTGAGAATCAAATTTTAATGTTGAGAATAGAATATGAGAATATTAATGATGATACCCCACCTCCAAAGAAATACCAGCAGTTTATCATGAATATTGTTAGAGATCTTGATGGAAACTTAGTTAAAGCTCGTTAACCTATCTTATAGGACATCATTTCCTCAAAAGAAGCTTTTATATATATGGGAGTGTGTAAAATAAGAACTTGAACGATCTTTTTTTATGTTTATCTATGCATAATGCTCTGTGTATTGTGTGTTTGTATGATCCAAGGTTCCAAGAAAACACTTGAAAATTTTATTGAGATGAAATTATTGCATATCGACATATTCCATCATGCACTTGTCCTCACTCCTGCATGTGTGAAGCTACGAAATCAACAAGAAACTGCATATCTCATAAAATCTATACATTACCAATGTTTTCTATATTCACTTGATTTTAGATTAAACTTAATTTTTGTTTTAAAATTGTGTCAATCCTTAGAAGGCACTATCCAATTCACAAATAATAAGTAAATTGATTATATAAGTTAAAGATTGATTACAAACACACAAACTAGACCAACCATACCATCCCTCAATCTAGGAAAAATGTAAACACATTTGATGCTTCTCAATGTAATGTTTCAATTTCTTTGTCATCTCTTTTGGCACTTTAGGCTAGGGCATTCATCTACTCATAAGATGACACATATGTATATGTCTATTTTGTATCTAACTATTACTCATAATAAAACAAAGGGTTAAATATGTTTTTAATTCTTATAAAATATTAAATTTTGTTTTTGCTTCTTATAAAAAAAATAGTGTGTTATGCTCCTTACAAAATAATTATGCACGTAATTGATTATCCTTTTAAAATTTAAAGCTGAAATTGTCCATCCCAACTTCCAAAATCTTGCATTCAACTCATATGGAACACGAGGTTGGTATATCAACCTAGTGTTTAAACCCTTCCTTTCTTATTCTTTTGGATATATCCATTAATATCATGCATTAAAAACTATCATGCATTGTAGTTTAGGTTGGATTATGGGTAAGTTGTTCTATTGGTGATAGTTCATGTCCCTTTTGGTGGTGGTATTAAGTTTTTCTTTTGGTGTTGGTGTTCTCTTTGTTTAGTTTCAACAGATTGGATCTTCATGGTGTCCAAGGAGAAATTTTCTCGTTATGTTCTTTGGCCTAAGGATGGGGGTGGGTCACCTTCTTCTTCACAAACTTCTCATATTTGGTGATCGAGCGAGATTTGAGAAGTGTTTTTCTTACCATTTTGCTCCGGTTGGGGACACATTCATCCCATTGAGGAGAGATATAAAAGGTAATATATTTGATTTTGTTAAGTTTAAATAATTCTCTAACATGGGGTTGTTGGAGGTGCAATTGGGTAAGTTATGGTTTGGAAATTTCAATCTTAGAGTTGCCAAGCCCAATTTTGATTGTGGAATATCTGTGGTGGCTAATGATCCCAGAGATCAGTTAAAGTTGGTGAAAGAAGTGTTAAAGGTGGTGAATATAGTGATAAATTTCAATCACGAGTTGACGCTATTTTGTCTAGGATGGTTAAGGATCCTCTTTCATGTAGATCGTTTGCATAATTTGTCATAGGCAAAGCCAAAATCACGTTCGGTGGTTGGTCTCCAATGTGTTTTTCTCTTCCTCTCCTTTTGTCTCCAGTTAGACTATTTTCTTGTCCTTCAAGGGTCCTTGAGTTTTCCCCTTCTATAAGGTAAGAGAATTTTTCCGTGTCAATGTTACAGGGAAAGTCTGAAGTTAAAAGGAAGACTGGCCAGAAGCACGCTGCTGATGCACACAAAGTCCATTATGTAGATCCTAACCTGCGAGAGGGGGGATTTGTTGGATAAAATTCAATGTTATATTAAGTGGATTTCTATTAATAAGTTAGTGGAAAGACAAAGAGTCTGTTGTAGTTGGAAGACCAAGAGATAGTGACCTATTATAAAGGCCAAGGTTGTATTTTCATTTCAACAGAATATATAAAAGTAGTGCTTCTGTTATTAAATTGGCATCAAAGCTAATGGCAAACGTGATGAGTCAAATGTCGTTGCCGCGACTAACAAAGTCAAATTACGAAAACTAGAGTATCAAAATGAAAGCTCTTCTTGGATCTCTAGATGCGTGAGAGGTGACCAAAGATGGGTTTGAAGAACCAACAGACACTGCGGGATATACGGCATCTCAAAACAAGGCGTTAAAAGAGACGCGATAAAAGGATAAGACGACACTGTACATGCTATTCCGAGCAGTTGATGAATCAGGCTTTGAAAAAATTTCCGGTTCGACTACGTCGAAAGAAACATGGGACATGTTAGAAAAAGTGTTCAAATGAGCAAACCGAGTGAAACAAGTTCGACTCTAAACTCTTTGTGGCGAATTGGAGAGGATGCAGATGAAGGAGTCAGAAACTGTATCTGACTACATCACGCGTGAACAAACAGTGGTGAACCAACTCACTAGAAATGGCAAAACGGTGACTGACACACGAATTGTCGAAAAGATTCTGATATCTTTAACAGATAAATTTGATAATATTGTGTGTGCAATAGAAGAGTAAAAGTAACTTTCGACACTCTTAGTCGAAGAGCTCACTGGTTCTCTCGAAGCACACGAACAACATAAGATAAAAAAGGAGGAAGTAGTCGAGGAACCACATCAAACCAATGAGTCAACCAAAGACGAAAAGGTACTCAACTCTCAAAATTTTAGAGGTAGAGGACGTGGCCGTGGGGGTCGAGAAAGTGGTCGAAGTGGTCAAAGCAGCAATCTTGAAGAATATACTAAATAGAAGGGACAGTCGAATCAACCAAACTGGCATGGAAGAGGACGTGGTCGAGGAAGAGGTGGCAGGTAGAATTACTCCAACCTCGAATGCTACACGATTATAACTCCTACAAATGTTATAACTGTGGTAAAGTGGAACATCTTGCAAAAGATTGTCGAGTCAAAAAGAAGGTAGAAGAAACAACCAATCTAGTTTTGGAAGCTGAAGTGAATGAAGGTTGTCTCTTGATGGCTCAAAATGAAATCAACACCAATAATGACACTTTGTGGTACCTCGATTCAGGGGCAAGAAACCATATGTGTGGTCACGAATATCTATTCAAAGAGATGCAAAAGATTGAGGATGGTCATGTGTCATTTGGGGATGCGTCGAAGGTGAAGGTGGAAGGCAAGGGTAAAATTTGTTACTTACAAAAGGATGGCTCGATTGGATCAATCCAAGATGTTTATTATGTACCAGATCTCAAGACCAACATCTTGAGTTTGGGTCAACTTACAGAAAAAGGCTATTTGATATTTATAAAAGATCAGATTCTGCATTTGAAGAACAAGCTAGGGCATCTGATTGCTCGTGTCGAAATGGAATGAAATCGAATGTACAAACTGAATCTAAGAAGCGTTTGAGAAAAAGGTTTGCAAGTCAATGTCGAAGACAAAGCGTCACTATGGCATCTACCCTTTGGTTATCTAGATCATGTTGGTTTGAGAAGGTTAGCGAAAAAGAGCATGGTGCACGGGCTACCAGACATAGAGTATGAGAGCACATTTTGTGAAGAATGTGTTCTTGGAAAACAGACGAAAACCTCATTTCACAAGAAGGCATAATATCAAGCTAAACATATTCTGGAACTGGTTCATACTGACATATGTGGGCCAATCACTCTAGAATCATTCAGTGGCAAAAAGTACTTCATTTCTTTTATCGATGATTTCTCGATAAAGACTTGTGTTTACTTCTTAAAAGAAAAATCCGAAGCATTTGAAGTGTTCAACAAATTCAAAGTAATAATGAAGAAGGAAACGAATAGACATATCAAGGTCGTTCGATCCGACATAGGTGGTGAGTATACTTCGAAAAATTTCGTGAACTATTATGAGAAGGTAGGCATAAGAAGATTTTTAATTGCACCATATTCTCCTCAACAAAACGGAGTGGCTAAAAGGAAGAAAGAAACTATTCTCGACATGGTTCGTTCAATGCTCAAGAGCAAGAACATGTCGAAGGAGTTCTGGGTAGAAGTTGTGAAATGTGCCATTTATGTTTAAAATAGATGTCCTCATGTGAAGCTATATGATAAAATACCACAAGAGGTATCGAGTGGAAAGAGACCAACAATTTCTCATCTAAAAGTGTTTGGTAGTGTGGCTTATGCTCATGTACCAGATCAACGAAGAACAAATCTTGAAGAGAAAAGTAAAAGATATGTATTTATTGGATATGGTGAGAGGATAAAAGGGTACAAACTACTCGAACCAACAAGCAAGAAGGTGATAGTGAGTCGAGATGTGCGAATAAATGAGTCAAGAAAATGGGACTGGAACAATTTGGCAGAAACTATTGTCGAAGCAAGAGAATCATCAATCGCTATACCAACTAGCACACCAATAAACTATGAAACTATTGACAGTGAAGATGAAGTTCGACAACCCAGAATGTGAAGTCTGCAAGATTTGTATGATTCGACAAGTGAGGTACACCCTGTATGTCTCTTGGCAAATGCTGAAAACATCAGTTTTGAAGAAGCATTGCAAGATAATAAGTGGAAAACTGCCATGAACGAAGAGATTCAACAAAATACATAAAAGTAGTGATTATGTCATCAGGATTCCCCTTAGAATAGTTTGAACCCATGGAAAAGATAAAAAAAACATACGGATTATGCCCAAAGAATACTAGACTTCTTATATTAGGATCGCCTTGTCAGAAGAAGAATAGACCGAGATAACATGGTTGTTTCGAGAAAACATAGACTTGTTCGCATGGGTACCTACTGACATACCCAGAATAGATCCTGAAGTGGTGTGTCATCAACTATCTATAATTCCTGAGGTGAAACCTATTTCTCAAAAGAACTTGGAAAAATGGAGGATGTGTGTCGATTTCACTAACCTCAACTAAGCATGTCGTAAGGATCCCTATCTGTTTTTGAGTATCTACAGGCTCATCAAAGTCACTTTTGGATCTAAGACGTTAAGTTTCATAGATGCCTATTTTGGGTATAATTAGATCTGAATGAGTCCCAACGACGCCCTTGAAGGTGTGGAAAATACACAAGAAGGGGATTGAGTTGTGTTTTCAAAATTCTTTTTACTTCTGAACCAGAGTTCAGAATTTG